CCTCTGACAGCGAGACCGGCCATTATTAGAGACCCGGCCGCTATTGGAATACAGGCCAATATTAGAGAATTTACGGTATGTAAATATGAGACTGTTGGAGTTGCATTGGCCAAACAGTTAATAGCACAGCACTCACAAAAAATAAAATAAAATAAATGTTGCCCAATCACCAAATTCAGCAAGGACCAGAGTTCTCTAAATTTCTCAAAGCTTTACTATGACTAACAACATTCCACATTTCCCTGTGCTCCAGTGGGCAGAGCACTGGAGCATGCACAGATTAGAAGGGTCCAGTTGAATATGTGTGTGTATGTAGAGCTAAAGGTTAGGGGATATAATGTCATTACTGATTCACACTCACACACTTAATGGCTGAGAAGGCACAAGGTAACAAACTGCACCGACAGCTCCAAAGAGGGTGTTACGTTGAAGTAAAAATTTAATCTTCAGACGCTCCAGGCACCCATGTGGTTTTATCCTTTATTGGATTACCACACATAAATTTGAAAGCAGTAAGTGTCTGCTTTTATCAGGAAGAAGTTGACAGCAGGAATCACTGTTTCACACCCGAATAGATCCCCTCCTTGTGTCTTCTTATAGTCCCATTTACACCATGCCCAGAGTGAAAAAGCTAAATCAAAAGCACTATTACTTCAAAGCACCACTAGGTTTCCACAGCATTTAGCTAGCAGGCAGGGCTTTGAAGTAAATAAAACAATCAACACCACAAAAGAGGCACAGCATGATGAGAAAGCAGGATCACAAATGAATCTAGGAACAGTAAACAGGATGAAATTGAGATACAGAGGAAAAAAAATCTGATAACAAGGACGTAAAAGGACACATAGATTTGGTAAGAGAGGGAACAGAAACCAGATAAAAACTAGAGAAGGATTCCTGGGTTTGTGGTCATCTATGTCATTTTCAGGGGGATTTAGGGAAATCACAGGCAAAACATTAGGATGTAGCCAAAGATTAAATGAAACCACTGGCATAACATTACTCTAGAACAGTGGCTTCTGGGTGTTGGTAGGGATCTTATACGGTTGGGTAGGATTTGTAAATGTTTACAGCAAATAGACCACTCACTCTGTAGCACTGATATGGTGGCCTGGGCGCGGATCCAGGTAATGGCAGGATTTTGTCGGAGGTCATTGCGCCTGGGGTCGTTGCTCGCTCGACACTCATAGGTCCCTGAGTCCTCCAATGTGAGACGAGTGATGCCGAGCACACTGACCCCATTGGTGCCGTAGGCCGTGTTGATGGACACCCGGCGTTTGCGAGCTCCGTCCCACAGCTGCTTGAAGGACTCGGCTCGGTTGACTTCTGAGTACCACCACTGGATCTCCGGAGTGGGGTTACCGACCACCTCGCAGTACAGCTCAAAGGTGTCCCCAGTAAGCTTAGTCTCAGACAGTGGCGACTTCACAAACCCAGCTGGAGAGGAGAGGTGTTTCAAGATCAGAATCAGATTAGAATCAACTTCATTTGCCTGGTTCATGCATACAAACAAGAAATTTGACTTTGGTTCCACTTTGCTCTCAATGAAGACATTGTAACATAGACAAAACAAAAAGGATTATAGAAATGTTGGTCGCGAAGGAAAGGGTTAAAGAAGATTAGAGAAGAGGGAAGGCATGGAGAGACAAAGGGAAAGAGACGGTTATTAAATAGGGTTAAAGTACATAAAATGAAAGAAAGGTTAACGGTAAATAATAAAGAAGCAAGCCTCAACGTCATTGATAGGAGAAAAAAGAAAAGGTTAGTGTTCAAGTTCAAATCAAACATGTATTTTTTTTAAAATAGTAACAGTAGTACTTTCTTGTTTATCACAATTTCCCTGCTTTTTCTCCTCCCATTTAAAATTACACTTTGGTTTAACAAGACAGAGCTGTATGTCAAAGGTCAACAGATAAATAAACAGTATGTAGCAGTTAACAACTTCATCTTTCCAGCCCTCTAAATGAGATGCTAAAGAAAATGCAGAAATGAATGGAGCTTTTTTCCAACTTTTTAAAACAGAAAGGAGTTCTACATCCCCCCTCCACCACCTGTTGCTGGGCACTCTTGGTGAGCTTAGTAAAATATGACTTTTACAGTTTTCTTACGATAAGAGACAAACCCTTTCCCAGCTAAAAATAGAAACCCTCACAGCGTTAAAGCTACTAAAGAATGTAAGCCTTTCATCTTTAGCCTGCTGGACTGGATTTGGCAATAGAAATGATGACACAGACCCAGCCAGGGGGGGTCACAGTCAGGCTGGTCACGCGCATCCTTTCTGCATAGTCCACAAGTGGTGTTGGTACTGTCTGAAAATACTTATCTTCAGACTTGTGCATAGCAATTATCTCTAACATCTTTTTTATTACTTTCACTTTTCTAAATGGGAAAACTTTTCTAAAGGATTTTTGATGATGAAGGACTATTTTCTAGAAACTTTTTTCTTATACAGCTAATTATTGATGCAGGCATTATTTTTTTCTCTCTGTATTGAGATCTAGTGTCTAAAATGAAATCTTATTTGATGCTGTAGAACTTAAGCAGTGGTTTAAATAGGAACGTTATTCATATTAATTACAAAACTAGCTTGGAAAAGGGCCTCTGCAAATATATACCTGAGCCTTAAAGGAGCAGCATCTATCTCACCTGTGGGTGATTTAAAGCGACAGTCTTTGAAATCTATGTAAAATTTTCTCATTTTGCTTTGTACAAATAACATAAAACTGTTGTTTTAAGTGTTATTAAACACTTTTATTACACAAGTATTATACACTTAAACTAGCTGCAACTGTTCAGACATGTTTTCACACCTCAATCTAGTAGGTTTTTTTTCATAATTTCTGCTCATACTTAATAGTCCTTTCTGTGCAAATGCAATTTTTCCTTAACTGTGCTGTTAAGGATGGTGTGTTCTGGAATATGTCCCAGAACACACCAGGTGAGAGGTGAGTTACAGTGTAGACATGTTTACAGTCTGTCACAGAGCTGATATGTACAGACAGACAAACACCTTCACACCTATTTTCACACTTTAAGGCAATTTGGAGTCAGAGACTCATACAGCACACATGCCAATGAACTCTAGAAGGACACTGGAGGTTGAACACATTAATTCATGGCCATGGTCTTATTTGACCCATTATCAATTCAACAATCAGCACCATAAAACATTTTGGTTCATTGAAGTATATTTGATCTGAAGAAAAAAGATGGTTTCCATTTTTTTTTCCTATCCAAAGCTGTTCCCAGATACTGCAATATAATTGTATAAGCTCACTGTAATCTCATTTTGTCCATATCAGAGTGTGACAGCAACGGTAGAAATTAGGTCAACCAGATTATATTTTGGATAAGCTGGACTTTAGGAGTGGGGGTTTCATAACTAATAGATAGTCATTGATGCACAATAGTAAAGAAACCCACAGATGCATTAAATCTTGTTTTTTGACTCTCATCTAGTGAGAAAAAGAAATGTGTGAATATTTGTAATTGCTGTGAATTTAATAAAAGCATCCTTAACCCTTCTATGAAATCAATATGCAATATCAACAGTATTACCAAACCCATCCTTGGTCGATGCCTGATTCATGACCCTTTTCCACATCAGTGCTTGGCCCAACAACACACTGCCAGCCTTAATGAACCTCATCTGATGACAAATCACCTGCACCACAGACAGTCTCCTCCACCCGCTCTGCAGCCTCTCAGCTGTGACCACATGTGCTTAGGTAAATCAGAAAAGTATAGCGCCTTAACTCTGGCCTGAATTGCTCTAGAGAAAATTGGAACAAAGAGCTTGTGGTCCCAAGCGGGTCGGTCTCTGCATTGTGTCTCAATACAGCAGCTTACCGGCACTCTTCCATCTGTTAGCACTGCACACAGTAATGCATCATAAACAAAGCAACAGATAAGGCTGTGGACTCACAGCTGCTAAGGGCTGCTAGAGTTATGTACCACAGTAAGAATGCTGCCACTGGTTCTCATAATTAATAACACTACGTTTAAAAATTCATCAAAATCAATACATTTTTGTCACCATACTTTTTTAAATCTGGTTTGATTTTCGAATCTTTACAATACCAACTTTTTTCAAATCTATTTTTTGTTTTTTTGCATGTCGAAAACTGCCTAGGGGACTTAAGTTTAGGAATAATTTAAGTCCAATGAAGACAAAGAGTTTTGATGCCCCACAGGGTTTTATGAGCTCATGCTAAAACTGTACATGTCTACGTAGATTGAGACATACCTGAGCAAACGTTTAGAGAACAATCTGGACTCATCAGATTGAGACTCTGCCAGTGTGTTAAGGTTCTTACTTTTTGTTGTCGACTGTATCAATTTTGCTTTTACACTTTCAGGGTTCATTAAATGTTGCTGATTTTAATAATATTACATTGTATAAGACTTAAATGGAATGCAATTGATAAACTGTAATGCTGAAAGTATTGGGTCATATAACCCAACCAATTAACTGAGATGATGGATTGAAAAATGAATTGATGTTATAAACTGCTTCTTTCACTGCATGTTTATAAAGTTTGGTATGGAGAAAACTGAATGAGTTTCACAGTCCCTGACCTCAACCTTACAGAACAAAACCTTTAGGATGAATTAGAGCCAAGGCTTGACTGACCCTCCGTCAGACTGGTAAAAGATGTTTGCAGAATAATTCAGGTTTTTTCTTGGAATGGGGGTCAATCAATTAAATGGACCCAATAGATGAAGAACAGAATGCAACCAAAGCTCAGGTACTCCAACAACATTTAATTTAAACATAAGGTGAATATATTACCTTATAATCTTTAGGTAAGTTTTAAATGAATGATTTAAATGACTGTAATAAAATATAATATTAATAAAGATAATGATTGATATTGATAAATATTTATAGGCAATATTATTGTGTTTAATATCTATCTATTTGTCCGACTGTCCGTCCGAATATGAATATATTAAAAAACTAGAACAAGGAGTTATAGTTAATTAATAGGTAATTCAAAAAACTATTTATTTAATATCAGTTGAATGATTATAACTGTAATTTGCTTACTGACCAGGGGTTTTAGCCTCTTACCTAAAGCAGCGGTCCCCAACCTTTTTTGCACCACGGACCGCTATATTGCAGACAATATTTTCACAGACCGGCCGGGGGGGGGATTTGATCCAGTAAAATGATATGACTGGCATAAAATCAAATACAAACAGCATAAAAATAAAACAAGCCAGTCCCATCGAGGCGTAATCGGAGAAAATGACAGACGAAGTGTGCTCCTGATGTCCAGTCTGCTCCGTAGCTTTGTTTTGGTTGCTGTAACCGCAGAAAATCCCGCTTCCAAAGATAGGATGTTATAGATAGGATGAGTCTTAACCTGTGTCAAGAGGCACAATTGCACCGACTGATGTAATTGGGAGAGAATACCACCATTTTTTATATTTTTCAAAATAAAACATCACTCAGATGTTTGGGGACCGCTGACCTAAAGGGTTTGACTCCTGAATCCGGCTGTTGTCTTTCACCAATTTAGTAATTTAGGCCATGGCCATCAACAACGCTATTAATCACCAACCAAATAAATATGTCTCTGTTCATTCGGATGCTACTATAAGAAGAGTGAATCCAGCCTGAGTGACAAATTGTTCACTGTGTAAAACCAACACGAAAGACCACGGGTTAAAATACAATGGTACCTTTATTAACTAAAATCACACAGTATTATACCTAATAACTAAGCAAACACTAAACACTACTGAAAATGAGCAAAATTAAAGAAATAAAAGGGGAAGAGGGGTTTAAGAGTCTGTTCAAAGTCTGAGGGATGTTCGAAGTTTAAGGTGCATTTGAAAGTCTTTTATAAAAGCAGCAGATAAAAGGTGAATAAACCCTGACGCAGAAATGTTAATTGCAGTCAAAAAACAGTTACGTTTCATTCAGTTTATAGTAAAAAATGAATAATGACTCAGGAATGCATTACTTATTATGAGGCTGAAAGACCCGTTAGCTTAGCTGGCCCCAGGGGTTCTGGTTCAACTGAAACAAAGACAGGGTTAGTTCACAATGTAGCAGTTAGCTTAGGCAACACGTGTCTCGTTCGGTCTGTAGTAAGCATTAGCATTCAGTTAAACTCTTAAACCATCAACAGTTGAATCAGCAGCTTATTTCAAATAAAAACAACATCATGACTATCTATTCTTCCTAGTTAACCCAAGCAGAGCACTTATTATGCCTCGGATGTAAAGGAGGGGGAGGGATGATGTTATTGTTTTGGTGCGGTGGAGTGAAGGCATTCGGCGTGGTCCGGTGTTCTGCAGACCCCGTAGTGGCACAGTCCGTTTGTTCAACAGCAACTCAAAGAGACTTGGATCAATCCGCAACAATATCAAGATCAAGATGCAACAATAAAAGACGATTTACAAGGGGGTTCATTATATAATTTTTT